CCAAGTTAAGATGGTAGAATAAAAACATCTGAAACTCTCCTTTCCCCAACCCTAACGATAGAAAAATAAATAGAACCAAACCAGTCAAAATACCTCAGGCTCAATCAAAGACAAGGGGAAAACTTCATGCCATACAACTCAAAATGTGCAGCTGAGGTGGTAGGGTGAATTCTCTAAACTCACTTGATTCTTTGCAATAAAACATCACTTTTAATCTAAATCCCCAGCACACACATATAATATAGTATGGAAGAAGCCTGAGTGACAAGTTTCAAACATTCACACTAAGATCATCAAACATAAAGAACAATGATTTATGTACAAAAGGTGCATGGAACAAGGAAAAAATACAAGGAGGTATAATCTGAGTGCTCATATGCTAATAAGATGCTCACATGCTAATAAGAAACTCAAAGGAATGATATTAGCCAATAGCAACTGAACAAGAACTTTTGAAGTGTTGCCTTTTAGCTGGGTATAGTAAAGAATAAAATAAGAAAACAAAGTCGGTAAAAAAAAAAAAAAGAAAAGAACGAGTACAGATAAGCTGCAACACATATGACACAGATAACAATTTTAACTACAAGGTAATGAAAGAATCAAGAAATTTCCCTATAAACACAAGCTGTTTTTAGTAGAGGGAAGGTGTTAACATGACAAAAGGAGAAAACCTTTAAAAAGAGATGAAAAACAACATAGTCAAATGAAAACTTCAGATCTAAAAAACTAAGAAGGAAAATCAAACCCCCACGAGAAAACTAAATTTAGTAATAGCGTAGTCTTGGCTGATAACTGGATTATCAACAAAGAAATAACCACAAGTTCAACACAGGAAAAGACAGTGAGTTTTTAACAAAAAAATTGTAAAGAAGAGACATCTGAGAAAAAACCAGAAGGCTGTGTCTTGTAATCAGTAGACAGACTGTATCACCACCTACTCGCATCTTATTCCTCCTTGTAGAATTTCATAGTTTCCCTCATGTACGTATTGTGTGAGAGTTCTACGATAGCACTTTCCAACTGAAAATCAATTGCTTATGGGTAATGAAAAATAAAGCAACTGATGTTTTCTATATTGACCATGTATTCAGTAAACTTCATACAATCTGGTATTAGTTCCAGCAGACTTTTCCTGATTCTTCAGGCTTTCTTCAATGAATACAATCATGTCATCTGTCAACCTTTATCTCTCCCTTCCCACTCTGCCTTCTTGTCTTATTTCAGTGCAGTTGGGGTCGGGAGGAGAGCCTTGCCTTGCTCTCATTCTGGGAAGAATCCCTGTCCAAACCTTCCCTTCCAGGAGAGCATCCAGTTTCTTACCATCATGTATGAAGGTAGCTCAAGGTACTTTGTGGCTCTTTATCAAGTTCAAAAAATTTTCCTTTCTCTGTATTCCCAGTTTGCTGGGATGTTTCTTTTTTATATACATATAAATGCTATTAAATTTGTCAAATGTTTTTTTATTATCAACAGGTATTGGATTGATGTGATCATAAGATTTTCCTTCCATGTAACTGATGAACTGCTTTGAAAATATTGAGCCAATCTTTCATGTTTGAAATAAATGTATGTAGGTTATTCCTTTTACACATTGTTTGTATTTGCTATTATTGTGTTAAGCGTTTCCACGCCTATCTTTGTGAGAGATATGTGGGTTGTTCTTGTACCATCTCTGTTTTTGATATTGGGTTGCAGCTAGTACCATGGAATGTTAGGAAACGTTTCTTCTGCTTGTTTTCTAGATTATTCAAAGGTGCTGTTATGTGCTCTGTAAACTATTTGCAAAATTCCATTCAATTTGTGGAAGCCACCACTGAAAAATCATTTGAACCTAGTACTCTCTTGGAAAATTATTGACTCAGTTTAATAGGTATAAGCCTGTTTGTATTTCTCATTTATCCTAATGTGAGTTCCACTGGTTGGTGTCTTTTAAGGAATTATACGCTTCATTTATTACATCTGTAGCACAGGGCTGTCCAGACAATCCTTTTCTTGTCCTCTAATGCCCGTGGGATAAGCAGTGATGATTCCTTTACTTAGGATGCTAGGAACTTTTGTGTCTTCTGCTTCCTAGGCGAGCTTTGTTCTGTACTGACCAACTTCACTGACCTTTTCAAATACCCAGATTTTGGTACTTAACGATGTTGTCCATTGTTTTGTTTTCAATTCCATTGATTTGTTATGATTTTACTATCTATTTTCTTCTATGTACTTTGGATTTAATTTGCTCTTTTCCCAGTGTCCTAAACAGAAACTTAGATCACAAATATCAGACTTTGCTTCCTTCCTACAACATGCAGTGTTACAAAATTCCCCCTACTTTAAAATACTGTTTACTTCCTTTTTGACATTAATCTTAATTAGAAGTATAGTTTCATCTCCAAATATTCTGAGATTCATCATCTATCTTTTTGATACTGGTTTCTAGTTCAATTTCCATTATGGTCTAAGGATGTACCCACTACGATTTGTACCCTTAAAGTTTGTTATAGAATATTTTATGTCTCAGAATATCTTATATAAAACTCACAATTTTAAACACTTCAAGTATGCAATCCAGTAACATTAACTACATCCACATCTGTTGCACGGAACAATTACCACCCCCCATTTTTAGAACCTTTCAGCATTGTAAATATAAACTAATTACATTAAACGATAAGTCAGCTTGCTTATTTACTTCAGTCCCATCAAACTTTTTTGTCTTAACAAAGTACCTATTCTGTCTGCACTTGGTCTTTAAAAAAAAAATACTGAACTACATCTATTGAAGCTCACGCAGTATCACCCCATTTTTAAGGCTGCATAGTAGCCCACCGAATGAATTAAACCGTAGCCAACCAGTCCCTTCCTGGGGGAATTTTGAGTTTCCTGTCTGGCTGCTACGAACAGCACTATGGTGAACAGCACTATTTAATGTACCGATCACTCGTGGAGCACTTGGATTTAATGTGCTAGAGGCATGGGCTCGGTCAAGCACTAAATGACGTCTTGGAGGGTTTTATTAATGTACTCTTCTTACCCCAGACAGAGTCCCTTAACTCTCACCGCTTGTTTTGCTTGAAGAAAAGTTCACGAAAAACACCTCTTCTGCTCTAATATCTTCAAATTTTAGCAAAGTTGTGAAGTCCTAATTTTTCTTTCTTTATAGGAGTATCTTGAGAGTACCTGGGGGGAAATAAAGAAGGGAGCTGTGCCAATTCTGAGAATTTTGGCCATCCAGGGTAGCACATCTGGGCAACGTGGACCAGGTTATTTACGTAAGAGATGTGTGTGCAGACACATGTACACTTACATATTGAGGGGTTTTTTTTTGAAGACGCTAGACCTGAGTGATTGAGACACAGCTCTCTTGTGCTGTTTTCCCAAGCCGTGCTTGGAGGGTCATTCTCAGTTTTCAGGGGGGCTTGGTGGTTTAAAATTGTGAAATTTCACGAATGGGGAGGAGGGCTTCACAGAGCCCTCACCAGGGAGGCCCACAAAAGGCGACCCGGGCCTGAGGGGCGGGTTAGTCATTCGCGGGAAGCGGCCATGCCCGGGAGAGACCCTCTCTGACCCGACCCGTGGGGGTCTCTAACCCGGGCCGGGTCTCCTCAGAGCCGCGGAGCACTCCCGTGGGCGCGTGCCCCGGCCGGCCGGACCCCAGCCCCGCCGCCGCTCCCGGTGGGGCCTCCTCAGACACCGGCTGCCAGCGGCTCCCACGCGCGGGGGGCCCCTGCTCCGGACAGCCGGCCACTCCCGCCGCGACCCGGGCTCAGGCTCTCGGCCCTGACCTGGCGGCCCGAGGTCCGGCCGAGCCACGCGCGCCTCCGGGGACCCTCGGGCCCGGGTCGGTGGGCAGGCGTGGGCGGAGGGGGAGGGGCGGCCGCCTCCGTGCCCAGATCCGGCGCGCCGCGCCCCCTCCCCCGCCGTCTGCGCGCTTTGTACAGGCGGTCAAAACAGGGGCGGCCCGCCGAGGGGGGACGGGAAGGCTCCTCGCGGCCGCGGCCTCCCTCCCCTTCCCCACTCCTCGCCCTCACCTCGCCCCCATCCCCCGCTCATTTCCTCTCGCACCCGGGGCTCGCCACTCCCTCGCTCCGAGTCCCTCCGGCAGCGCCGGCCTTCCCCTCAGGCTGGGCCCCCTTCTCCCCGGCCTGCGTCCTCTCTCTCTCTCCTTCTCTCTCTCCTTCCCTCTCTCTCTCTCTCTCTCTCTCTCTCTCTCCTTCCCTCCCTCTCTCTCTCTCTCTCTCCCCCCCCTTCCCGACCGCCGCTTCCTCCGCCCCTCCCCCGCCCGTGGCCCCTCACCGTGGCCCCGCCCACTCCGCGCCGGGCTGCGCTCCACGTGTGGACCCCGACGCCCCGGCCCCCACTGACAGCCGCCGCCCGCCGGCCCGCCCCGCGCCCCGCCGGGCCTCTAAAAGCCCCGCGCCGCGCCCTCGGCCTCCGCGTCTTCCCCGGCGTCCAGCCCGTCCGCTCGCCCGGGCCCCGCGCACCTCCGCCCGGCACCGCCGCCGCCGGCGCGTCGCTGCCCCCGAGGGACTCGGGAGCGGGCCGGGAGGAGACCCTCCTCTTCTTGCGGGAGCGACTTTTGTTGGCTCGTCTGCTTCTTGCTGGTGACTTTTGCAGCTTTCCAAGACCCGCTCCTCTCGGAGCGCAGGGAAATCCGCTGAGCCGCTGCGTGCAGCCCCCCCCCCCACCCCATACACACACACACACACACACACTCCCTCCTCCCTTTGGAAGTCCGCTTTCTTTGTAACTTTACGCCGCGGCTGCTCGGGTTACTTTTGTAATTTCCCGCCCCCACCCGCTGGCGGATCAGGACTCGCTAAGGGCCGTGGCCCGGGGGATGCAACGTGGACCGCGCGGGGCTGCCGGCCACTCCGCTGCTGCCGTGCCTCGCCGCCCGCTGCGCTAGAGCCTGCGCCCGGCATCCCGCGCCCCTGGCAGCCGGCGGGCCGCGATCTGTCTGCTGCTCCCGCTAGAGCAGGGAGCCGGAGCCCAGGCGGCCGACCAAGGGCGACTCAGACCCCTGATTGCCCACCGCCACCCTACCCGGGCCCTCGCAGGTTTTGTCTTGGGTAGCTGCCTCTCTGCGGGCCTCGGTACGCGCGCTCTCGGAGCCGGCGATGGGTACACGGCGGTGGCTGTGTCTCCAACCCTACTTCGTTTGGCTGGGCTGCGTGGCGCTCTGGGTACAGGGCACGGCCAGCCAGCCCCAACCTCCGCTTCCCAAGCCACCCCTGCCGCAGTCGCCGCCGCAACAGGTCCGGCCCGCAGCGGTGGGCTCCGAAGGCGGGTTCGTGGCGCCCGAGTACCGGGAGGAGGGCGCCGTGGTTGCCAGCCGGGTCCGCAGGCGAGGACAGCAGGAAGTGCTCCGAGGGTAGGTGGGCAGCGGGCTTGGGGAGGGGGTGTCTAGGCTTGGCCGTTTCCCATCCCACCTGGTCCCTGACCCTTGCTCTGGCGGCCGGAGCTGCAGCTGCCTCCGGAGACCTGGAGACTCTCCAGGAGCGCGTCTACCCCCTGGGGCTGCACGAGCGGGGCTGGGAGCCTTCCCTCGGGGTTTGGCTGGCGGTGAGGCGACAGGGCCAGGGTGCGGATCTGAGAGCGAGTGCGGAGCCCCGTGGGGAAGTGGGTTCTGGAGTTCGTGCGGAACAGTGTGCCCCACGCTGGGGCCGCCGGAGCCTGCGTGCTCGCAGCCGTCGGGGGCGCCGCCGCGGAGCCTTTTGTTTGAGAACGTGTGCAGGGTTCTCCGCTGCTCTCCAATCCTCAGTCCGAGCGCTCCACTTTCCGACGCGTCCAGCTTGACACCTCGGGGCCCACGGAGCGCTCAACTGAGGAGGGAGGAGTGGATTTGGGAAGAAGGCAAGGATGGCCGAAAGGGGGATAGGTTCCCTTTGTTCTCTGCATCAGGGGGCTGGAATCGTTGCAAATTACACGTTTTTACGTCTCTACAGCTCTCTATGCAGGCAAGCAAGGCAGGATGGATGCAGGGGAGTGTCTGGCTCCCCCATCCCTGAGTCTGCCCTCGACCTCCTGGTCCGCACCACCCGATGCACACGTCAAAACGCCAGGGATTTGGGGTGCTTGGGGTTTGTTGGTTCTGATAATTACGCGGGGACACTTAGCTGCGGGGGACTTCAGGGACCTCATTGCGCCCCACCCCACCTCCTCCCGAATGTGACCGCTTTGCTCCGTCACAGGCCCAATGTGTGCGGCTCCAGGTTCCACTCCTACTGCTGCCCGGGATGGAAGACACTCCCCGGAGGAAACCAGTGCATTGTCCGTGAGTGCAGGGCTGGGCAGAGGGTGGACACGCGCTCCCGGTGAGGTCCAGGGGCCTCTGGCAGGGATCTCTGGGCCACACGCGGCTCCCTCCCAGTGGTCAGTAACAGTACTGGCCTGCGTTAGGGTAGGCTTGGAGGCCACATTCTGTTGAAAGGCAATAATGATAAAAGCTTGAACCGCATTTGGAACTTTTATCTTTCCACGTCTGCAAAAGCTCCAAGGAGGAGCAATCTCCCACATAGCTCAAAACCACTTTTTTCCCCCTTATCAAATAAATAAATAAATAAAGACCGCAGTGTTGCCATGTGAATGGCCTGGCTTTTGACTCTGGACCTTTATACCAGCCCTCGGCTTGGGTTGCATCTCTTCAGCTACACGTGCACGCACGTGCAGGGGGACCTGCTGACAGTGTAGTTGACCCAGATGGAAGAAAGCTTTGAACACCACTCTTGTCTTGGCTGTCCAATTTCCCTGTTTCTGGCAGGTATTTAAAGGTGGGGTTTCCAGACCCCAGGCTTGTGGCATGCAGTTACTTCTAACGTGGGACCCTTTGCACGAATTCTACATGCCAGACCTTACACAGTTTCATGAGTGAATCCTAGTCCTGCTGTGCATAAGGCACCCAGGCCCCTCTTGAGTTCTAATTGGAAGGCTCCTTAATCTCCAGCCCCATAGTCAAGACTGGAGGATGTCTTCCTTCGCCCGCTTGTGAAGTTGTGACCTGAAGAGTGGCTGGCCGTGCCTGGGTCTGCTGGAAGGCGAGCTGGGGATGAGGCTGCACAGGCCCCTACAGCCCCTCCTGCCTCCAGAGTGACCTCAGCATTCACCAGGAAAAAGATAATTATGCCTTGGTGAACAGAGAAAAGGACAAACTGTAAGGGCCAGGGGATAAACAGGGATGTAGTGGCGTCGGGGACTGTATACTTACTGGTTTTGTGGGTTTGAGATAGAAGCCCTTCATGCTATTTCTGGTCGCTTTTCAAAAAGGAATGAAATCTCAAGTGTGCTAAAGACTGGTTTCCTCTTATCTTTTTTTCTACCCTGGAACTCCACCAGAGGCAAGTACAGGAAACAACAAATGTGGTCTTGAAAATGATTCCCCAGTTTTGGATGCAAATGCTCTATTGTTTGCCCCAGCTTTCAAGAAAAGGGAAGGATGTTGGCAGTCCTTCCTTCCAACACAGAAGACCAGTGTGGATGGAGCCTTTGCCCAGGGTGCAGTTGCCCTTCCAAACCAGTAGGGATTACCATGGCTGCTTTAATGTTACAAGGTTTCCTAGAATCCCCAAACAGCTCACGTCACTCACCCCACACCTGCCATCATGGCCAGGAGTGACTTAGGCGCTGCGGAAAGTCTGACTCACTAAATGTAATGAATGTGACTGCCATTATTGAGTTGGAGAGCAGCCGAGGAGAAGGGGTTGCTTTATGGTACGTGTTGAAAATCTGTAAAGTCAGATTTTATTGGATCAGAATGGAATGGGAATTCCAGAGAGCAAAGCCACTCTATTTACAGTAGAAATATGTCTGTAGCCCATTTAAAGTCAGCTTTAAATACTTGGGGTCTTTGAGTAGCACAGAGCCCTTGATTTGTTTGGAAGATCAGCTTTGAGAATACCAGAGTGTTGTAATCGGTGTTTGTATTACTGGTAATATTCTAGTGTCTGTGAGTCACAGTGGAATTTGTGTGTATCAGAAACCTATAAAACATAAATTTTGAAGTGGTGTTTTTGTATCTACAAGAGACATTTACAATGCTTAATGTTGAGAGACCTACAAACCATCAAAAATAATTCAGGTACCTGGCAGCGTGGAGCATTGTCCTAAACAGAGGGGAAATATTTGCCTCTGTGTTGGGAATCTCCCCTACCTTTTAATTTGTAAGAGAGCACATTAATTATTCTCATATTTGTTTTAAATGATCTTTGTGGAGGTCCTAAGCAAACTGATATTACAAATTCAAACTCAAGAATTTTAATTACAGGCTTTCATTATCCAAACAAAATAAGCTAATTACTGTCTTTATTGAATTTATTTACATTCCATTATTTAGCAAAAGCAAAGTGCTGAGAAAATTGACAAAGCAAAAAAATGAAGCAGATTAGGGAGTTCATTTCTGCATATGGGCAGGTCAGCAATATTTCTGTGCAGATAGATTAAAACGATCAGCCTTTTAGACTTTTAATCAGTCTCTTGTTGACTAAGATTCATGAGGAAAAGAGAGTAAGTGGGAAATAAACTTTGATTTGTGTATATTTGATTTTTTTTCTGTTCTTAATTGTGTCCTGAAAAGTTCAGTGAAACATTTTAAAATGTCAAAATACTTTAAAAAAAATTATTTACGTATTTGAAAGGCAGAGTTACAGAGAGAGGGAGAGACAGAAATAGACAAAGGGAGAGAGAGAGTCCATTCCCTGGTTCACTCCCCAGGTGGCCTCAGTGGAACTCCATCCATGCCTCCCATTGGGTGGCAACAACCCAAGCACGCAGGCCGTCTGCTGCTTTCCCAAATCACGTTAGTAGGGAGCTGGTTCAGAAGTGGAGCAGGGACCAGAGTCACAGCTCAACAGGCTCATTAATCCTCCACCTTTAAGAGCCGGCATTCCATAAGGGCACCAGTTCCGGTCCTGGCTGCTCTGCTTCTCATTCTGCTCCCTGTGTGTGGCCTGAGAATGCAGTTGAGGAAGGTCCAAAACCTTTGGCTTCTGCACCTGCATGGAAGAATGCGGAAGAGGCTCCTGGTTCCTGGCTTTGGATTAACTCAGTTCTGGCCATTCCAGCCATTTGGGGGATGAACTAGCAGATGGACAATCTTACCCTCTCTGTCTCTCCTTCTGTCTGTAAATCTGCCTTTCAAATGAAAATAAATATATTGTTTTTAAAGGGGGGTTTGGGTGGACAACCAGGACAGGAAGCAGTGCTTATTTGGGCTAATAGCCTCACAGGAGGCAGTGTAACCCCCTGTACCACAATATGAGCCCCTGATGCTTGTTCCTGAAAGGATGGAACTGACAGTTGAACTTTCCTATTGTTATTCATCTCAGTAGAACCTGGGAAAGTTTCTATGAGTGTGTTATAAGATCATGCTAGGAGCAGCAGTCTGGTCACTGGAATAACAGTGGAAAGAGATGAATTCATAGTATTTGAGACCGGAACATCTCTTAAATTGCATCAAAAGGATCCCTCCATTCTGTGTTACTCAGGACAGTATTGAATTCAGAGAGGTGGCGGGGGTTCCTTGCAGTAGGGCCTCGGACTCCTGGGAACATCACATACTGCTTACCTGGCCATGCTCTGCTTACAAGCACTGGACGTCGGTTGTCTCTCTGCATTATTCATAGATCTCATGATTTTTCCTTGTGGAAAGTCCTATATTTAGGTGAGGCTTACCATCATCAAAGACAGATGTGAGGAGGGTGAGCTTAAGTGAGGAGGTTCGGCCTTCCTGGCTTGGGGCACTTTGATACTCACCTGAGACCCCTAGAGCATCTACTTGTTGGGGAGGAGGGAATTTTGATATAAATGATACTTTTATGACCACTGACCATTGGAAAGTTGTCAGTGATCAAAACTTCAACACATTTCAGGAGTAGGTCTATAGTGAGAACCATATTCTTGCCTCAGATGGGTTTTTATTTTATATAAATTATGACACCAGACTATTTGACACTATTTCTTATAAGGAGAACTGATGGTAATACTGCTCATATGATTTGGATATCAAAAACCTCCTGGAGGACATAATTTACCTCCATAGAACATGTTATTTACATCATTTGGGGTGGGGATCCCAGAGCTCTGTGATACTTGCTGGACATCCCCCTCCCTAGCAAAAGATACATACACACCCTGGCAGAAATGTGGGTACCTGGCATCAGGCCTTTCCCAGTTTATTGTTCTTATCTTGAGATTTCTGGCCTTGGAGTTAGAAGGTTATAGACGTATTGAGTATTGATTAGATAAGCAAGCATTTTTCTTTCTCTCCGCTCAGAGAATTCAGTTGTGGGTGGAGAGAGAATGCTGGAATTGAAAGAGCTGTCCCAGGGAAGGGCATTTGATCCAGGGTTAGGGTCTGTGGGATGTGTGTGTTTTGGAGCCTGATGTTCCTGTCAGTGATGACCCTCTTACTTCTGTGGTCTTTGGAGGTCACATTTGTGGGGGACCATGTCTTCCCTCCTCCCCTCCACCCCCCAACAAAATGTCACAGTAGCTTTTCTGGGAGCAGAAATAGGCCGGGTCATGGAGATTATATGAGACAAGAAAACTGGAGGCCAGAGAGAGGGAACTATTAAAGAGAATGAAGATTGATGAAGGGGCAGGTCAGATGCCAGCCAGGAAGGAATGTGCATGGGACCCCTGAGGCTCAGCCAAGTCATTAAGGCCTGCAGTTGTGGCTCAGCCAATTTCACATTCTCTGACTCCTGGGAAGGCCCTCGACAGAGCAGCTGGGTTTTCCAAGCAGGGCCTTGGGGTTTCCCCAATCTTCCCTGCTCTGTTAGGAAAGACGGTCTTCTTTCGGCGAATTCTGCATTTTAACTACCAGTCTTGAATGGACAAGACAGCATTCATTGTCAATATTGAGTTTAAGAAACAACTTCGTTGTTTGCACATCTCGTTAAGGATACAGAAGAGACGAATAATAGTTTGTACCTGGAGTGTTTTATATCTTGGAGTTTCATGATTACTGTTTTGAAGTACAGTTTTCTTATTTGTAAGCCAGGGTTCGTTATCTAACTGTTTGCTTTCCTGTTGTGTTTTTTATAGCGATTTGCAGAAACAGTTGCGGAGATGGATTTTGCTCCCGTCCTAACATGTGCACGTGTTCTACTGGCCAAATATCACCAACGTGTGGGTCAAAATCAAGTACGTTTCTTGCGTGTAGCCTTGTCCATTTAGTTATTTCAAAGTCAGAATTACAGACAGAGAGCTTTTCCATCTGCTGGTTCACTCCCCGGATGACTGCTTCAGCCAACGCTGGGAAGCCAGAAGCCAGAAACGGGAGATCTCCCCCGTGTCTACCATGTTGAGGCAGGGGCCCAAGCACGCGGGGCATCTCTCACTGTGGGAAAGATGGAGCAGCTGGCATAGGAGTCAGCACCCATGAGGACGTTGACATTGAAGACAGGCAGTGTTTTACCAGCTACACCACTACACCATACCCTTTACTTGCTTACTACTGTTGGCCCACAATGCTCCTCTTCTTGATTATCATTTTTTATTTCTTTACCTACTTCCATTGAAAGTTCAATACTCCCTCGGGCCCAGTGCACTGGCCTAGTGGCTAAAGACCTTGCCTTGCACGCACCAGGATCCCATATGGATGGCAGTTCTAATCCTGGCAGCCCCGTTTCTCATCCAGCTCCCTGCTTGTGGCCTGGGAAAGCAGTCTAGGATGGCCCAAAGCTTTGGGATGCTGCACCCACATGGGAGACCAGAAGAGGGCCTGGGCTCCTGGCTTCAGATTGGCTCAGAACTGGCCATTGCGGTCACTTGGGGAGTGAATCACTGGATGGAAGATATTTCTCTCCGTCTTTTCCTCCTCTCTGTCTATATCTGACTTTCCAATAAAAAAAATACATCTTTTAAAAAAAAATGAAGTTTAACACTCCCAAGAATATTCCTCCCAGGATGAATTTACTTATCTATAATGATGTATCTAGTATGTTGGCAGCAGTAATATGTACTAATTATCTCCAGAGTAAATTCTTCACTTACATGGCCCTTTGTGACCTGTTTTGCTTCTGTTTTTATTTATTTTTAATTTTTAATTTTTTATGATACCGTTCTATAGGCTCAGGGATTTTCCCTTCCTCCTCCCCATCTCCCACCCACCAACTGATTTCCCCTCTTATTATTACGGTAGTATAGTCCTTGAACAGTCACAAGTCCATCATTCTGCTATGTAAGTGTGCCCTGACATTGTAGATAGACAAAATGACAGAGTCCAGCGTCTGATTGTCAAGACTTATCCAGCAGTTTGATTGGGAGTCCAGCCCTGACTCGGGAGTAGAGATGAGTACTGCAGTAACTTCGCTTCTCGGTTGGTGGATGTTGCTGCCTGAGGCACAGGAGGCATCTGAGCACCGTGCTCATTCTGCAGCATGTCCAGAATGATGCTGCATTCATTGCTGACCACGCTCCTGAACAGACGGCGCTGCCAGCACACCCAGTGCGGCAACTGCTTCTTCCCTTTCTCCACCTCCACTGTTTCAGCAAGCCCTGTCAGTCTCACTCACAAGTATGCTGCATCTGGCTTTTCCTTTCCAGTTCCACTGCCATGGTGTGGCTGTTCTTCCTCTCTTACCTGCACTGTCACCTCCCCAACTCCTCCAGTTTATCCTCTGCAGGCAACCTAGAGTCCTCTTCAGAGAAAATAAATCACATCACTCCCTTCTTCAATTTTTAAAATTTATTTAGTTGAAAGGCAAAGAAATGGAGGCAGGTGAAAGAGAGAGTACTTGTGTATTCTCCTACCACCTGTGTCTGCAATGGCCTGAGGCAGGAAGCTGGGAACTCTCTCTGGGTCTACCCTGTGGGTGACTTACTCTGACTTCTGCTGCTTCCCAGGGTTTCCCTTAGCAAGACGCTAGAGTCAGGAGCCAGAGACAGGACTCGAACCCAGCTACCCTGGTGAAGGAAGTGGGCCTGGTGTCTTAACTACTTCCACCTAACTCTGATATTTCAGCCCTGTTGGTGACTCTCTGGTGCACAGGACATATAGTGTAAATACTTGGGTGACATTATTTGATGGCATTCAGCTTGGCTTGTCCAGGTCTTCATCTTCCTCTTTATGATGAGAATCTGTTCTGGTTTTGGGTTTTTTGTTTGTTTGTTTGTTTGTTCTGTTTTGTTTTTAGTATTTATTTTATTCTGCTATTTGTAAAGTAAACAGACAGATCTTCCATCCATTGGTTCACTCCCCTAATGGCCATGACAGCCCCAACTGAGTCAATCTAAAGCCAGGAACCTCCTACAGAGTCTCCCGGGATGGTGCCTCCTTTAGGAAGGGCCAAAGCCCATCAGCAGGCACTCGGCCCCTGTACTCTGCATGGCAATGAATCTGGCTTCTGCATGCTGCAAATTTTTCCACTAGTCACCTTCCATTGATTTCTTTTAGCACCAAAACTATGATGTGTTTTAAGTCCTTGTTGAGCAACATAACACGTTGGCCCATGAATGCACTTGGGATAAAGGGTTGTGACAATGTGTGAGTTATGGCCTTTAGTTTTTTTTAGTGTATATTGGTCAGTGAATTCAGTGTTTGTATCATGGTGTGCTTGCTATGACTCAGCTTGTAGTCAGGATTAATAGATGTGTGTGTGTGTGTGTGTTGTTGTCCTTTGCAGTTCAGCAGTGCAGTGTGAGATGCATGAACGGAGGGACCTGCGCGGAGGACCACTGCCAGTGCCAGAAGGGATATATTGGAACTTACTGTGGACAACGTAAGGAATGCTGGAGGAGGCTTTGTACACTGGTCATAATTTTATTTGAAAGGCATTTCGATTAGATCATCATTTTAAGGTCTTGTAAAGCATAGATGGAGAGGGAAAACCCAGCTTTATAAATGAGCTTCTCATTTTTATTCTGAGATTTCTTTTAATTCTTTTAGAATGCTTGAGCTTTAGAAAATAGAGGTTGAATACCACCAGTGTCTTAACAAATTTGACACACACCACAGGTCAGTTTTTGTAGGTTTTCAGTCTAGCTCCGTGAAACACATATACTTTCCTGGAAAAATGGTGACTTTTGCTTTTATCTTTCACCCTGTATTTCTTCCTCTTCCTCTCTCTATTTGAATTTTTTATTATCTCAGTAGTAATCCTGGCAGACCAAGTCTCTTGAGTTACTCTTCACTCAGATGTATTTAATGCCATGTGATAGACTATGGAATGGTTTTGTGAAAGTCGGCATGATAGAAGATGAAGTTCTAACTCAGAAAAACTATATTTTCACTGGTATACCGATCAAAAACAATCTTAGCAAAGATCCGAGAGTTGCAGTTTGTAGATTGTAACACATCACTGGAAAATACTTCTGGTTGGTGTTTGGTGAGACTTGTAGGAATGCACATCCCTTTAAATATGGAAGAGTACAAAGGCATGATATTATACAAGCTCATCTCTTTCGATTCAATTGCATTTCACTTGAAGACGATCAGAGTTCATTGTACATCTACTTTACAGACAATGAAATCTAAGTTTCATACAATTTTCACTTCCTAGAATATTTTAACTTTTTAAACACTCAAAAATGTGAAAACCTCTCTGATCTCATAAATAGTACAAAATCTACCTGTGGGCCGCCTATGGCCTGAGGTCACACCTGTGCGTCTGGCCCTGGGGTTTGAGGAAAGCTGAAGAGGTATCCTGAGACAGGCTACCATTTGAGCAAAGAGTCGGGTAGGTACGTAAGAGAACACGGTGCCCTGCAGCCAGTTTTCTAGCGTGAATAAGCAGGGCCAGCGTAGTCCCTGTCCTGAATTAATGTTGGCCAGGAGAACAAGGAGGAACTGGGTGACAGTGGAACAGAAAATTACAGCAAAGTTTTCTTGTTTTGTTTATGGATGCATTTTCTTTGTACTTTCTGATATTTGTGACCAATTTTCACAGTAAACTCCAGTATATAAACAACAAAAAAGTGAAGGTCTGTTGGGAATACCATATTTGTCAGATTTTTACCATTCTTTATGCCTTACAATATTTTTAGATGTATTATACCTGTTTTGAAGAGGTTATTAGCCAGCAAGAAGACCCAGTTATGCTTCCTAAAGCTCAACCTTTAGATTGGGGGTGGGGGAGGAGAGTGGGGGAGAATGGTAATTATTTTGGAATCACAAAGGATAAAGCCTTGTCTCAAACAGTGTTTTCAAAAGTTTTTCTCCAATCTGTGATGAAACCAGCTGTTTTCACAGCCAGAATTCAACCTGTCTGCCTGTTTTGAGTGTGTGTGGTGTGTGTTTTCCTAAATACACAAAACAAGCTCTCTTGGGGAGTGTGTTCTCTGTTCTTGGTACAGAAATGAGAACCTGCCCCATGTCACACCATGTTGATGCTGCCATGTTTCCCACTTAGGGCGATGTGAAAGGCTCTGGGTCGGAAAACTCAGTGTGGACCCGAGTGCTTGTTCTTCAGGTGATTTGTAGAATGCATCCCTCTTGGTTTTTGCTCATCCTGTAGCACGACAAGCAGTGCAGCCCATAAAACTCAATAATGGACAGATCGTTTGAACCTGTGGTAGCTGGTAGATACCCATGTAAGAACTGGTTTAAGGAGATGGCTTTTATGTCGTTCTGCACACAGAGTATCACAGTCCTAAATGTAGTTTTTAGCTTGAGATGCCGTAAAATTCCTGGAAATATGGTATTTGCTGGCATGGGAATGGAAAAGATTTCACCTCCTAACTACTTTCTCAGAAATATAAATACTGCTTATATGTATGTATATAAATGTACATACATGTAAGATCTTCAGTCTCCTAGTTCCTCCCCCACATGGCTACACCTGCCAGAGCAGGACCAGACGCAAAGCTAGTAGCTTGGAAGTCCATCTGGTCTGTTACCTGGGTGACAGGATTCCAATCACTTGGACCGCTTCCACTGCCTTTTGAGGTGCGTTTGCAGGGGACTTTTGGAAATATAGCAACTTGGACTTGAATTGGACCCCTATGGGATCCTGGTCACAGGTGGTAGCTTAACTTGCTGTGCCACCATGCTTGCCAAAGTATTGCTCTTCAAAAAGTGTTCTTTTTTTTTCCAGCAATTTTGGCTAATGACTATGTGCCCTGAACTGGGCAAGGTGCCAAGAATGCATCGTTGAACAAGTTCGATAATGCCCTGAGCTTATATCCTAGTAGAAAAGATGATTAATAAATTAGACCAAATACAGCACCCAAACTTTAAGTAATGGGAGTCTCTCAGAGGAGAAAGAAAAAGGGTTAGTGGGAGAGAGTCGAGTATAGATTAGCAGAGTTCAGCTGTTTTACATCAAGGTCTCAAAGACCTGATTCCATCTTTTTATTCCTTTTATTTATTTATTTATTTGTTTTTAAAGATATAATTTTTTGAAAGAGTTGCAGGTAGAGGGAGAGACAGAAAGGTGAGAGAGAGGTATTCCATCTGCTGATTCCACTCCCCAGATGGTCACAGCAGCCAAGAATGAGCCAGGCTGGAACTCCAGTCATGGGTCGCTGGAGCCCAACACTTGAGCCATGCTCCATTGCTTTTCCCAGGCCATCAGCAGGAGCTATATGGGAAGTACAACAGCTAGGACATGAACCGGTGCTCATATGGAATACTAGCATCACAGGCTATGGCAGTGGTTTTGCTTGCCACTAACAAGTCTGTTAGATTCATGGGAAGAGTGTTGTGGGTTGAGGGAAAAACACATTCAGAGGATCTGTGGCTGGAAGCAGTAACCTGTGTGTCTGGGGTGTTGTGGGAGCAGGTGTCACCATTGTAATGAGGTCAGAGAGGGAGGTGTAGGGCCATACAGGCCAAGGGAGAAAGGTTAGCCATACCCTCAGAATGATGAAGCATTTTGAACAATTCGCTCGAATTCCACTGTGTTGAAACTGGACTATAGCAAAGGCCAGCTCAGAGGCTCAGTGGTACCAGGGTCATGGGGCACGATGTGTTTCAGACTCTATGGAAAGCAGTTTGTGTTGACACCAGGTGTAATGGGTGAAAAAAAAGGGAGGGAAGATCATGAGTAATAGTGGATTTTGATGGAGAGGGCTGCCTAGGGGCTGCAGGGCCTGAGCGGAAGACTTCTGTGTTGCATCTGCAAATTCCTGCAGCAGCTGAGGCAGGGCCAGAGCAGTCCAGGCACTCAAATAAGGAATTTGGAATCCCAAGAGACTTCCTTACTCTCACAGCAGAGGACTTCCCCTCTAAGTGTTGAAGTTGGCGCTGTTCTTTTCTTTGCCTTCAGTTCTGCTCTTCCTGTTCCCCGTCCCTTTTTTCCTGGTTGTCTTATTTGTTATTCTCCCCTTCTCCCTCTTCCTACTCCTTAAACTTTATCTCTTTCCCCTAGATATTTTTTAATCTCATTACATGTTAAAAGTTATATGGCGAAGCTAACAGAATAGAAGTCTGTGTGGCCAATCATTGAGATTCTGATTATTTAAGAAAAAAAATGTGGAATGCTTGCTTCATGTGATTTATGGAAATGTGTCTCCCTATATACTTAAATCTAATTATGGAGATGTCTGATGCAACTTGTGCTTAAGCTGTGTCATTCAATGTTAAGTCCTTTATGGCAGTATCACCACCCACCTCTTTTGAACGTGGAGGCTTCCTCTCTATTGAGCGTGTTGCCCTTCTCCTGTGCAGCTGTCTGCGACAATGGCTGTCAGAATGGCGGGCGATGCATCGGACCCAACCGCTGTGCGTGTATTTATGGATTCACTGGTCCACAGTGTGAAAGAGGTAAGAGGAGAATCCTGGTGTGAAGAAGTCTGTTTATTGTAAAAATGGGTCTTAAGGTAAGTGTGAAATTTCTAAGAAACTTAGCGTTTCTGCTGTGCTCTAAGTATATGTGTAAACTGCTGAGCTCTGATTGTGGTTTTAAACGGAATGTTTGCAGTTTTGAAACATAACTAATAGAAGTGGAAATGTCTCAGTGTTTTTCCTATCCCAGTGACCTCAGTTTGGGAGGCCAGTTCGGGGCTGTGACTATTGGATAATTATCACTGAGTGATGGCAACTTGTCACAGGATGCTCAATTCAAAGCAGAGTTCTTTTGAGAACTACTGAGAAACAAAAGTATCAGGTGTTCTTGGCTACAGGACTGTGAGGACATGTTGCAGATTGCTCACAGCAGCATGAAAGCATGGCAAGGGCTGGCGAGTTGCAGGTTGGGCTGATAGCAGCCCCTGCAGATGTTTTCTGTGCTGATGGACTTAGACTTGACTTCTTAAAACTGTGTCATCAGAATGGTGGTGGTGCCTGTCAGGTGTAGACCTATTTTTGCAGCAGGGGATGATGGAGTTTCCTGAATCCTAAGAGTGGGTGGGCTCCGCATCTGCCGAGCAGGACAGCAGAGCTGGCAGAGTGGATGGTTTGAGTTCACACCCAGCGTCTCTGCCCCATCCGTGTAGATGACCAGTTACAGTGAAGAAACCAGCCCAGGATGTACATGACAATGAAACTCATGAGCTAGAGCCTGCTGAAAATACCCAGCACTGATACAGTAAGTGACCTGATAGTTATGTTTTAATGGCGAGTCATTACCACGACATGCAAAAGAAGTTTAACTTAATAAAATGTGATAAGAAGCATGTGTATTTCTTTAGGACATGTGCTGTCCACACTGGAAGTACCTAGGTTTGATTCCTGGCTTCAGCTGCTAACTCTAGCTTCCTGCCAGTGTAGACCCTGAGAGGTTTAGTAACTCACTTCCTGCTGCCCACATGGGAAACCTGAATGGCAGTTCTGGTTTCCAGCTTTGGCCCTGGCCCAGCCTCAACTTTCACAGGCATTTGGAGAGTGGACCTGAGACCCCCCCCCTCTCTTTCTCTCTCTTTCTCTCTCTTTCTCTTTCTCTGTCTCCCTTCCAGTAGCACCCCTCCCTCTGATGGTGAATCTTAACTAAGCAAATTTTAAATATGTTGAATAGCTATCTAGGACCAGGTCTTTTGAGTAAGAGCTGTCTGTGTGACCTCTCGTTGTTATGTATGTCCTCAGCCTGTTCTCCCCGTGCTTGTCATGACCTCTCAAGTTACACAGCACTCTCTTCATTGAAAGGAGACTGTATGGAGTTATGTAGTGAAGTATTGCTGATAAGTTGTGGTGACAGTTGATATAGAGAGAGGCTTTGGATTTCAAAGATGCTGTGTTTTACAAATTATATTCACTACCTTCATAAAACTTCAACTTATTGTTCAGGTTAATTCTTGAGAAGACACTGAGAGATTAGAATTATGTGGTAAAGTTTGAAAAGTAAGATGTATGCAGCTTTTAAACATTCACTAGTATGTATATACACTCAAGATATTTACATTATTCCTAATGTAATTGAGATTTCTTGGGACTAAAGCACATTCCATAAGTGACAGTTTGTAGTTAAAGTTAGGATGAATTTAAATGTCTTTACCGGATGCTTTTATTTTTTGGAAAAATTACAAAATGTTAGCATAATATGATAAATTATTGAGAATAGAATCACACAAGTTTCTTAGATGATGTTAGGTTTATTTAAGTGCTATGAAATGGAGAGCAGTTAAATTTAAATTTTCAAATGTAATCATAATTGGTAGAGATTATGTTCATTTTTCTGGCAGTCATGTAAACTCTGTGTGTCTTGTGTCCTAAAGCCAACTTCAAGTTCAACTTGTAATTGGCAAGGGAATGGAGTGGGTAGTCTCAACTGAGAAGCTCCCAGGCAACACATCCTTGTTCTTTAACGACTGTTTGCTCATCAGGTTCGTTAGTCTTTGCTAAATCCATGGGAAGCCATGAGTGTACTTTTTGCACACACACACTAGTGTGTTTCCAGCACTCATTAACAATGAGTGAATTTTTATCTTTAAGGATTTTTTAAGCATGAGTTTGTTTTTAAAAGTGTTTTCAATTATTCCTTCTTCAATGAATGCTCTAAAATTACAGTTCTTCCAAAGAAGTAGTTATTCATTTCCACTTACATTATAGACATGAACTTTTCACATATTAAGATAAATTTTCAGTTGTCTTTTTAAAATGTGTAGTGTAATAGTTCATTTTACTGAAAATGAAGTTCATAATTTTTCTCCAAAAACCTTGTTTACATTTATCGAAAAGAGGTAACTCATGAGGTTAGTGAGTAGATTTTTGTGTTGAATTCGTGTGTTTTTTCACTATTAAGTTTCAAGATACGTGACGCTTAGATACGAAGAGAAAAAGACTTTTGTAGCCTGGGGATCGCTTTCTTCCTCTGTGTTGAATGCACATGCTTGCCTTCCAGCTGTCCTCCTGGGCCAGTTGTGTGATAAAACCTGGCTGCTTTTCCAGCTATCTGGGTGTCTGGCAGACTAGTTTCCGGACTGGAAGCAGAAACTGTGATAACTAATGACTGGCAACTTGAGTCTTGGTGTTGGTTCAGCTGCACCTCTTTGGAATTGTCACTCTTGCTGTAAGGCACAATGTCCTTTTATACTTAGCATCCAAAAAAGGAGTTCTTGTGGCCCCTTCCTTACTCCAGAACAGCTCAGCTTCATCCGAAGCATAGATGTTCAATTTGTTCTGCTTCTCTTAGTGAGTAATGTTTGAGAAAACCATCAGTGTTGTACTTAGTATACCCGGGGATAGGTAGAAATTGGGTTAAATATCAAGTGGGTTTTAAAGATGTTTTTTCTGTACCATTGACTATGGAATGTAGTTTATTCATCATCCTTAGAGACTCATTGAAGGTAGACAGGCAAGATGTGAATTTACCCAAGGGGTTTCTGGACAAAATAAAATGATTACTTGACCACAACTGTGGCCTGCCTTGAATATCATTCTTAACTTTTTAACTTGAAAGACTGTAGAACTCTTATTTTGTAATTGAATCTTCCATGAAGACCTTTTTAAAGATCATCTGTTAGAAGTATAACCCAGACCCATCTAAGTTACACATAAATTACTGCTACAAAGTTATCATATAGATCTTTCTTGAAAATGTCTACAAATGCTATAAAACACGTTATCCAATACCCTGATGTTCAGTGACATTACCTTTAAAATGTACACTTTTTAGTAAAATACATTGATAAAGGAACAAAGTATTTTTAAATATTGATATTTTCAAGAAAAAATTGGTAGACTACATCTGTAATGGAAAAAAAAAAAGCTGTGAGAGCAAGTTGCAATGTTAAGCGTTTATGAAATCTGAACTGCCACATTCTTGCACTCAGTGATTACTCGGCTAATTCCAGTCAGAGGACACTGGCCCGTCCCATCAGGGCATCCTGCGGAACGAGCCCCGCGTTGTTCCCCACGCGAGGTGTTTGAGGTGTGCAGCATGTCCCTTGCTACGTAAGTCAGTGGTTCGTGATGATGGTAGCTTCTCTGACGGGAGCTGGCCACAGTCAGGTGTGCCTGACCACAGATGCAAGTTTATGTAAACTTGAACCATCCTAGGATTTTACTATAAACTGGGTCTGAAAGTAGGATATAAGAAATACTCTTGATTCCAGGATTTATTGCCATAATATTTTGTAGAATGGACATCCAGTCGCCTTTCTGTTCTACTGTGTGCATACTTGTAGTGTTTACAAAAGATGAGAAACTGTACTTCTTGCTGGAAACTGTACTTCTGTCTTCCTCACTTGTGTTACTGAATAGAAGGCTCTGTAGGTTGTCATGGCTGCAGTGCATATTATAGTAATGTGCATTAGCCATATACATTCTTCCCAAAAGTAAGAGGAGGCTTATGAAGTGAATTTTCTCAATCTCTCAGATGAGAATGCTTTTGTCCAGGCTAAACTTGTAGCTCTGAATGTATGAAACTTTTTTTTAAAACAAAAAAAAACTTAATTGCTTTATTATACACACCTGCACTCAGGTACATGTCCTGTTACTTGATGTGTTGAGTCACTTCTAGGTTTCATTTTTGTTTTGTTGGTTATTTTGCATTTTAGCTATGTATGGCAAAAATCTCTGTAGATAAATCTCTGTTCTTGATTATATTTCTAGAATTAGTTTTAGAAATGTAATTGTTCAATCACTAAGTTTTTAAAGCTTTGCTTTCTAGAGCTTTTTATGATTTATTTCCTTGATATTATATTTAGAAGTCGTTTCCCATTCCCAAATCTTCTATAAACACCGATTTTGTCTAGTACTTTTGAGATTTTGTTTTTTTAATCTTCTTTGCTGTTAAGTTATGACATACAGGAGTGTAAATAAATTAAATGTTTTTATAAATGTTCAGTGTTGATTCATCCAGTATTTGTTGAGTGCTTTTTAAGTGTTAGGTTAAGTTATTGAAACTTGAGTTATGAAAGTGCAGAACACACTCCCTGTTAATGAGAAGTAAATTGTCTATTTAAAGACCAACACTAGTCAGCTATTTTAAGCATGCGGATGAATACAGCTCAGCAAAGACCATAATAGGAGTAGAAACAAGTACAGAGTCCAGACACACTTCTTGATTACAATTAGAATTAGAAGAGGCTTCCTGTCAGTGAAATAGATGGTTCATTTTCATGGGGATACTGTAAGTGATGAATTCTTGCATTAGTATTATAAGATGCATCATGATTGAGTCTCATGCAAAAGTTGTTGAAACTCATGATTCATTATCAAGCACCATGTTCAGAAAGCTGAATTTTTATGGAAATAAAAGCCTGTCCTTTCTATGGAGCGCTGAAGATTGGTCAGAGAGAGCTCGTGGTGCGGGAGGAGGAAGTTGCCGACTGCACACGTCGGGCGTGGCGTGCACTTGCCTTGTCTGTCTCTCGCGCACACGCACG